GGAGCTGGAGGTGGCAGAGTTAAAGATGCTAAGATTCTCTTTAGGAGTGACAAGAATGGACAGGGTCAGGAATGAGGTCATTAGAGGGACAACACAGACAGGAAGGTTTGGAGAAAAAGCTAGAGAAGCCAGATTGAGATGGTTTGGACATGTGCAGAGGAGGGACAGTGGATACATTGGTAGAAGAATGTTAGAGATGGAGCTACCAGGTAGGAGAAAGAGAGGAAGACCAAAGAGGAGATATATGGATGCAGTGAGGGAGGAAATGCAGATAGTTGGAGTCAGAGTAGAAGATGCAGAGAACAGGGCAATATGGAAATCAATGATTCACTGTGGCAACCCCTGAAAAAAAGGGACAAAGCCGAAAGAAAAAGATTATCATGTTTAAAGACATTTTCAATTATTTTGTAGAAGATTAGTCGTCAGATTAATCGTTGCAGTTTTTCGGAGATTTTCTGGTTCCATATCTGCAGTACATGTCTTCAGCTGTAGAATTTTACTGTTCTTGATGAATATATTGTACAGAAAATGGAGGAACATCTAAGAGTGTTATTATTGTGTGGTGCAGTCAACAAGTTCATATTTTGTTTGTTTACCAATTAGAAAAACCTCTTCCTTGTCATTTAGCCCATGAAATAGAAGTTTTGGTTAAAACAAATGTAGTTTTTAGTTTTTCTGGTTCTTTCTGGAAATGTGTTTGTTGACACATTTATAGTGTGAGTTCCTTTCTCCAGAACACAGCTGCATGTTTTCTCTGACTGCCTGACTCAGTGCACTAGAATGACCAGAGATTCTAGAACTTTTGCCTTAAAAGGTGGTCAGACTAACTACACGTTTCTACTGAGTCAGGCGACAGACAAATCGTCGTTTCTCCACAACAGGAACATACATTAGCAGTGTCCAGATGTGTTTTTTATCTGTTAAAACAGCTGATCTAACAACCTCATTACAGCCTCCCACAGCTGACATTTGGGTGTTGGCCTGCAAATAAACAACAGCATAAATTACTGCAGTGTTTAGTGTCACAGGGTCCAGCTACAAAGTGAGAGAAATGGCTTCTAAGTGGAAAGAGTCAAGCATCCATGTTGTCTTTTACATGAGAGTTTTCATAGAGCTATTAGATTCCATTTGTTTGTTTAACATTCTAATGGTGTTATTTTTATATAAGACTGAATGTTAGATTTGTCAGTACACTCGCCAATACCAGTCCTTTTTTGAATAATTTTCCTTATCTTTTTCCTCCTACTGCTTTATCTCCCCCTCCTCTTCTCAGTTTACAAAGGATATCTG